TTTTTAACGAATCTGTAAACCACATATTCTGCATTTATTGCTAGACGATTTACAAAATATGGACAAAAAATATTCAGCGGTTTAGAAACAGGTCAATTTTTTTGTTTTTGTAATTTGCAACATCATGTGTAAATACAGTCATAAGAAATTGACCTCAGGCGGCGATCAGCTGTATACGGGGCCTGGTAATCACACGTTGCCGCTTTTACTACACTCAAATTATGATGTTAATTTACGGGGAACTCTATCAAAACACATCTTCAGCTTTACGGACAGGTATGGAGTTAATCGTGTATGTCCTACAGACTGCCGAATTTTTGTAAGGGCGGTACAAAGATTACGAGACAACCAAAGTACCTACTTTTTTAAGGAGTGACACGTACTGGCCAGTCCGAAGCATTCCCGAAATAAACACGTGAATGAAGTCGTATTTTTAATAAATAGATTTTAACTTCCCTATAACGTTTTAGTTTGTAATCCATTACTCTATTGATTCACCCCTAATGAAAAAGCACACATCGGCATAGGGTAGATTATACTGAACTCTGCCGTCTCCTTCTGCGAGCAAGTTATGCTCGCGAAGGAGACGGCGGAGCGGGACCGGGAGAGGTTTAGATCTCTCCCGGCCCGCCAGGCCCGGGAACGGGCCAGGTACCGCAGGCGACTCAGGCGCCGGAGGTCGCAGAATGACCTCCGTCCTCCATAAGCGCAGGCCTGGTAGTGGCAGGGGAGGCCATCTGTCACCCTAGCAGAAGCAGGCCGGGGTGGCGGCGAGCGCGTTGCGAAGCGCCAGGGACTTCCTTTCTAGGGTATACCTGGTTCTCCGGCTATTAGTACCTGAGACGGCGTGCGGTTTTAGTCGGTTCGAGTCCGACATGCCACCGATAGGTGGTATCCGAGGGGATTTCCGCAAGGAAAAAAAAAAGGGTAGATTATACTTTGAGGTATTCCCTACTTACTGTCCAAATTTCAAGAAAATCCATCTTTCTTGAAAAAATTGGAAGCCAAAAACCGTCATTCGATGAACTTAATTACACAATAACTATTTTTTTTTTTACCTTATGTTTGTTGCACTTCATATGCTATCTTTAAAGCAACTTCTTGAAATGCCTTTAAAATTGACATGGTTGTGATTTTCCCAATGAGAAATAATTGATGTCGATAAATGCATAAGTTTTGTGTTAGAACTTCATTACGGTAGTTTCGGTACCAAAAAAAAAACGATTTTAAACTACGTGGTGTAGTTAGTGATTGCAATCCGGCGTCATTTTCAGTCGGGCTGGATCCAACCGGATTCCTATCGATCCGGCCGGATTGATCAAATCAGGATGATACTGAATTGAGTAGGTAGCACGATGAGGATGCGGAATGCAGGGAGAGCAGCGCGGTACTGGCGCAGCGTAGTGGGCTAGGGCGACTCGGCGTCGAACGACCATGAACACAACGCGCAACGCATTTAAAGTACCTACTCATGTAACAGCTCTATTATTTTGCTAAAAATTGCTACGTTTAATGATGCCGGATTACCGGATCCGTTTTTCCGGATTGCAATACCTAGGTTCAGTGGCGTCGTTGACGATACACGATCACAACACACTAATTACTGTAACATTGTCAGTGCATCATCCTTTTTCGTTTTTACCGTGTCTCAATTCTGCTATTTTATGTTAACTCTAAGCCACTGTTATTCCAGTGACACGCAATTGAGATGCCAGTGACATCGGTCAAAATAACGGAATACTACTAACATAAATTCACAGTGTCAATAGACTGTCGATATAGTAATATAGGTCATCAATGGTGATATCAACAAAATTGTCATATCATGAAAATTAAATACACTGCAGGCCAAAATTTTAACACCACCTTAATTAAAGTAGGAAAATTAAATAAAACTCCAATAAAATATTAAATGTTTTAATTAAACTGTTAAATCATCCAATAAAACACTTTTTGATAATCTAAAAAAGGCTATAGTGAGCTAAAATGATTTTTCATCAAAAAATCCTCCTTTACATTCTATGACTTTTTCGGCATACAGGCAATCAATTTGTTGATAGACTCAGTCTCGGCATACAGGCAATCAATTTGTTGATAGTGTCTTGTGATATATTGCTCCAACTTTCGCATAAAGCATTCCACATTTCTTCTCGCGAGGATGGACCACAATTAAGGACGTTCCTATCAAGCTCTTCCCACAACAGTTCAATGGGATTGAGATCCGGGCTCTGAGGAGGCCTAACCATGTTTTTTAACACCCCTTGTGCCTCTTTCTCTTCCAAATATCCTATGCATAATTTTGAGCTATGCTTAGGATCATGGTTTTGTTGGAAAATTAATTCATCTCCAATTAATCATAACCCCGAAGGAACGGCATTTTGTTCTAAAAATTTTTTGTACTGTTCCTTTTTCATAATTCCGTCAATTTTGATCAAATCGCTAGTTCCTTGGCTATAAATCCAGACCATAATTGAGCCACCAACATGCTTGATTGTTGGGACTACACAGTCTAGCATCATCTTTTCTTGGGCACTGCGTCGAACGTAAATTTTTCGTTTTGAACCGAATAGCTCAAATTTAGATTCATCGGTCCAAAGAACTTTTTAAAAATCTTCTTTAGCCCAAACTCGATGGGCAAGGGCCCACTGCATCCGTTTTTTCTTGGCAGAGGTTTTCGACCGGTGACGCGACCATACAACTTCGCATCTCTCAGCCGCCGTTTTACTGTTCAATGATAAAGGTTTAACTCGGGTTTTGTTTACTTCAACGCGGATTTCTGGTGCTGTTAAGCGTATTTTTCGCTTGTTGGTAACAAAAATGAAATGATCTTTACCTGATATGGTAGCTCTCGGCCTTCCCGAGCGTGGACGATCTTGAAAAATGCCTGTCTACCTGTATTAAGTTATTGTGCCATGAACACAAGTCTTCGATAACTTCAATTGTAAAGCAATCTTACGTTCGGATTTGCCTTCATTCTGTAAAACAACGATGGCAGAACGCACTTCACTGCTAACTTTGCGTGCTTTTCCCATTTTAAGACGTCTTCACTGTAGAAACCACAAGTTTAGACTAATTGAGATTGTTTGTGAACAAGTGTGTTTTTAGAAGCTAAATAATCCTAATTGTTGACCAATGGGAAACGAAAGTAAAGCAATTAGTTATTAGCACAACATAAATTATTACGACTCTACCATCTGGCTCTAACGCAGCGTTTGTCGGTGTTCGAAAACAATACATGTTTATTGTCCAATAACTCGAAAGTAAATAAAAGTATGACTTCTTTAGATATTCGATATTAACAATAATAATATATGCAGGTGTACATTTCTTTTATTTGTCTTATGGGATTTCGTTACAATTGATAGATATGTTGTTTAAATGTGGTCTTAAACGTTTGGCCTGAAGTGTATATCATTTTCTTACAAAGAACAATGGCGAATTCGTAGTTGATTATAATTAGAGCGTCTTAAAATGTCATTCATAGGAAAGGAAACTAATTCTAGTAAATATCTATGTTTTTTGAAACTGTCATCTAAGCCAGTAAAACCCCAGGAAAAGAAAGAAAAATATTACAAGCTTATTTGATTGTTTTAATTTCCTTTATTAGTTTAGTGTTGCCATTTTACAGTAATGTTTTTCAAGTAGTGGAAATACTGTCCAATAAAGTATCGTAATATGGTAATCACTTAATAGTATTATGGTAATCAGATAATAGTGTTATAATTCTAAGTACTGAATCAAAAAAGAATATACTTTGTGGTACATTAGTAAACGCATTATTTACGAATTTGAAAATCCTGTAGTGGAATATAAGGAAGTAAAAAAAAAGTGACATTCTATCGACAGTCTATTGATACAATATTAAAATTAAGGCGCTGTAAGTGGTTTTTTGTACAACCTAATGAATATAACAACCATTAGGTTGTAACCTTTTGATAAAAGAATCTCGGTAATAAGAATCCTAAGACTTTGGTTACAGTTACAGAGCTCCAGACATCCTTTATTTCAATGAACAGATTGAGGGCCATCATTCACGGCGGTTTATTGCTACATTGCATTAGCACAAATCAGAAGTACTAAAAGACAATAGATTAATTAATTGATTAATTGAATTGAAAAATTGAAAACGATGAGATTAACAATAAATCTTTTGGCTGGCAAATAGCATGACTTGCAACCTTGAGTCATGAGTGCCAAGGCAACTTAGCATTAAAAAACCTTAATAGCGGTTAGAATCTGTAAAGATTTCGTGTGATTTTATAAGTCAGTAGTGTTTTTACGTTGTGGATACAGCATTTATTTATCGTAAAAAGTCGACCTCTATCTTAGTAGGAGTTGATATTTCATCATCATCAACAGCATTTAGTAGTCCACTGCTGGACATAAGTTTTTTTCTGAAAAAGGAGGTTTTGGCCCATTATTCTACCACCAGACGGGTTGGTATAGGGTTTGTTTTAAGTTTACCTTCTGCGTAGTTTGCTCCCTTAGTCAGCTCTTACCACACCCACGAGTTCAATAGGGGTGGTGACATTCCGTATTCTTAATCCGTTACCACACGGATTGATATTTAAATTTCATTTTTTATTTTTGAAAATATTTATCAAGTATTTTTTCTTAATATAATTTTATAAATAAATAATACATAACATTTGCAGACTAAAATTTACTGGATTAAGAAAGCTTAAAATTTTCTAGTTAGCTTACTTCCGGGTGTATGCATCATGAGACCTCTATGGATGCGACAAATCTAAAAGTATCGGTGTCACCAGTGGCAGAGGTCAACGGTGCTCAGTTCGTTTGGGGGCCACCCGGCGGGTGCAGTGGGCGCACAACCCGGATCTTGCGGTGCCCCGCTTCCCCTTCACTCAGCGGGCTCGTGCGTGGAGGTGTGCATGCGCTTGCGCCACATGATACGGTAGTCAATAGTCTCGCCGCGAAGCACGCCGCGCTCGCACACGCGCGTGATGCCATGCGACGCGCGCACGCATTAACTAAATATTATGTTCGCGATCGAGAACTCCCAGGTGAGCGCGACATTATAATCCCCGTTATCGTAGTTGTTGCACAGGTGCATAGGAACATCCTGTTTTCCCAAATCATAGTACTTGTCCACTTGTGACTTTCACAGTAAACTGTGATTTAGCGTACAGCTCATTGTAACGATGTTCATTCACGATCGACCGATATAACGATCCCGGAAGTAGAGCCGGTTCGTTAACGTCATGTAGGTATGCTAATTATTGTATACTGTGCTTAAACATTCAAAACGTCCAAAATGAATGTTTTTAGGTGTGAGATGATATAATCGAATAGGTTGGCAGTGATTACTAAATTGTGAACTGAGTGCTTGTGAAGAGAAAATGGGAATGTTGACATTAGACAAAAATATCTATCGTAGTGGAACATAATAAATAGGTACGTGCTATTAAAAAGATCTCAAATGTGACTTGTGATCGCCTGTCATGGAGGCATATTGGATTGTCCTCTTTGTAAGAATTGTGAAAGCAGTGTAAGGAGTTAATTAATGTGCATTTCATCTGTCGCCTTTGCCAGCGCAAAATGTCGCAGGTCCGGCACTGGTCGGATATCACCGCAACTTTCACTTCGCCTCCGACACCGCTTGTGATTTATATTCTTTCCTTATCTACAATATCTGTTCACGGATTTGAATTTAATTGAATGTGGACGCGTCAGAGAATTTCAACACGAACCTATTCAGTTTATCGTATCGCATACGTTTGTTGATTTAGTTGTACTTATATTAAAAACATTTGTAAGGGCTGTAAATAGGGCAGCGATACTTGTAGAGTAGCTACTTTTAAATGTCTTTTCATTCTAGATAACAGAACATTTGTTATACATAGAACCTACCCAGAAGAAAGTTACGTTACACGCGGATGTTTCGCGGGCAAACAAACGGAATACATAAAAGACGTCACTTTCATTTTGTTTCAATGCAATGTTACTCATGATTTAGGTATACACAATAGGTACGTGGGAATCTTTTAAGATTGTTATTGTCATCTTCGTAAGCGTCAGTCATCAAACTCCGTATGAAGGATACATGATTAAATTTACTTGTTTGTACTTAATTCTTTTTTTCTTAAATTGTACCTAACAATACAATTTGATAAAAAGATTTAGTGACCAAGCAACCTTCTAATATCGAAACATATCAGTATCCGGTATGATTATATAGCCTGATGTAATGAATGTCAATAGTTATTAGGTATACAACTCTGGCAAACAAAATAAATCTAATGGTTAGGTATTTTGATATCATGTAGGTATTGTTCATCCGGGGTTAGCTGAACCTATATCTACACAACCATGTAAGACACACATATACTTACACACACACACATATAAGATTTAATAAAACGTATTCTTATTAAGACAACTTACGCCTCAAATTTATATTTCAATTTTTAATATCATGCAGCATCTATTTAGCATAATTGTTATATTTTTGTTTGATACCGATATTTTAAAGAATATCTATGGAAATTAACAAGTTATAACTTTAATAGCATATTCTTAAGTTTGTTCCTGACCAAGTTTCTAGTAAATAAGTTAGCATTAATAGTATTTATTGACTTTGAAAGGCTGTCTTTGTGTGCTTCTGGGCAAATTTCGAAGTCATGCTCCCTGGCGGAACCATAACAGGCGGCATTAACAAGTGTTAGTTACATTAAAAAAAGCCTATAAACTTTCTAAATAATAACTTTTCATTAAAATTCTAGTCCTATTTAAAAAAGTCGGCGTTTAGTTGTAGTAGTTTAGTTCTGCATAACCTTTTATCTAAAGTGGTTGCGCTGCAGAGTATCCTTCTCATCGCAACCACCATGATACATCTATAGCTATACATAGTATAAGCAAATATGTATATAGGTGGTATATAATAATTCTATGACAATTCTATTTTCAGTTCTATTATTTTCTATTCTGTTCTCTATCCTAGTACCACAAGCACGTCGATGCTCTGTGACAATTGCCCAAATCGGAAGGCTCCAAATTTGTCGTAGTTGCAGTAGACAGTTGCACTCGTTGCGGCCTTCAATACAGATTCACTGGAAGACGGATGAATTTCGTTTGCCCCGTAACCCGCTGTATTAGTCGATGTTAACTAAGTTGGCGATTACATTTTATACTATGTGTTTAGCTTACTGTTCTACACATGTCATGTCCTAATGTTAGTTCTCGTTTATTATTGCCAACTAACAAACGGGAACCTTAAAATAGAAGGGAGAGAGCGAAGTAAATTATGAAAATAAAATACTATGTATACTTTGTTCTAACCGGTGAACTATTATCGAAGTCGGTCTCTATAGGCAATTAGTTGCCAACAAAGGAGTCGTTAAGAACCTGATTATGTTTACTAGTAACTTACTATGAAACCTAACTTGAGTTAACGTGGTCGTTATTAGCGATGTCGGTATGTCTGAATTCGACCACGTCTCTCTTACGTTATGAACTTTTGAAGGGAAGCAACATTTTTATTCTCAACCACTCCTAAGTGCAAGTTTTTTAGGATTAGAGGTTTTTACGTAGTCAAACCGGAATACCCAATCTCCTAAGTGTGTTAGGTCCAGAATGAACTGCGAAAAATTGTACAGCTGTCTTGTGTTTTATAATTTTAGGTAAATCAAAAAATAAATATAAGTAGTGCCGTCATTGTTCTATGAGCATATAAAAGTAAAAAATATGTAAGTTTTGGGGTTATTTCTTCTTATTAACCATTGTAAAATCAAATAAATTGTCTTTGCTAAATATATTAAACATACCGAAATATATGTTATATTTCATGTGGTATAAAATAAACGAGTTTTAATATCGATTTTTAAATATCGTTCATATTTATGGTTTAAAATGGCGTATGCTAAATGATCATTGTTTAAATACCTTTTTATGAAAACAAATTTAGTTATTCTGTGTAGAGGTACATTTTACTAACTTTAGTTAGTTATTATTCACGAAGTTAGCACCAAGTCTTTAAGAAATGTGTACTATACCAGACCAAAGCAGTGGACTATTAAAGGCTGTAGATGTGTGATGATCCATTATAGAGATTAAATATTTATTTTCTATGTTTTTTATGACTATATTTAGTACGATTCTGTTATCGGAGCACGAAATAACATTATTATAAATAAAAATAATAATATTCTACTATATTCACACCACGCCATCTAGTCCCAAACTAAGAAGAGCATGTACTAAACAACTAATATTAATACATATTAATATACTTTTTTTTGTAAATAAATACACATACATAAACTCACCTAATTGTAATCACAAAAGTCAAGCATAAAAGTAAAATCCTCCTTCGCTTAAATAATATTGTAAGTACACAGTTATAACTTTACACGTCTTTTGAAAATTGTCATCCACCCTATTATCGTACGATAAGAGACACAGTCAAGTTTACTAAGTGGAAAAGTAAACCAGTAAACCAGTAAAATTCCCCACTACGACTTTAATGCAAAAATGCTGTCGCTTATCCTAAATTAAAATGAGGTATTGAAAATCAAACCTTTTAGTACCAAAGAGTAATATGGTCTCGATTAAATATTCAAAATTCAGAAGGCAGAAGTTCTACTACTCCCACACTTAAAACCAGAAAACAATAATTCTAGAAGTCCCATACAGTTCTGAAGAAAGGACGTACCTGGGTTTCTCAGTCAGTAGATGCTCCTTAATTTTTTAAACGCGGCGGTAAGTGTCAGTTTTAACTCAGATTTGTCATAAAAGTAATAATAAAGAAGTATATTAAGAGAAGGCCCGATAACTTTGATTTAATTTTATTTATCTTTTCAAAGATTCCAAAGAAAGAATTTAGCAAAGACTTAGGCTCTTACGTTATTAGTGACGTCAATGTAACTGTGTTATTCCTCCGGGTGTTTTGTATGTCTGTCACTATGTTGTTGTTGTTGGTGCATGTTTCCAATTTTATTTGTATACAAAAAAAAAATGTTCGCATAACACAAATTATATCTTTGTGTATAATAATATATATAATATAATAGCTCTACGAATAAAATAAAACAACATAATCGTATGAGTGAAGGGTTTTTTTTTCCCTCAAATAGATAGATACATGGAAAACTTATTATTTGTATACCATTTTTACAGGAGTAGCGTGCCACATACAAATTTACAGATATGTAGTGTATAAAGGGCGGCCTTATTGCTAAACTGAATTTCTTCTAGGCAACTCTATATTATTTCTCGTTTCTTGTAGACCTGCCTTGAGATTAAAAATAGATAAGTTAAAAAAACAAAAAATATAAAAAAATTATACCTTTTCAAAAACAATAGCGAATTCGCGTCAAAGGGAATTTTATAAATAGTTGTACAACATTTGTGATACTTGAGATATGATATCAACAGCATTTATGTACTATCTACAAAAGCAAAACTGCACAAAAACATGCGTAACATCTACTTGCCAGCGCTATTTAAACCCCCTACGTAACGTAATTAGAATTACATTTTAATTTTATTAAATTTGTTAGAGCAAAGTCACTATAATTGCAACTATATGAGACAGATAGACATTCTGCAATGTACGTTCTGAATATTGGCCAACCTTGAAATCCCACAGCATTTCGGGTGAACATGATCTTGAAAATATTTAGATGAATATAAAATGAGCAAAAAACTCGTTTTTTTTTTAAATTAGATAAATCCCATGATAAAAAGATAATTATATAAGAAGCTTAATCTTTCGTAAATAGAAAGAATTATTTCGTTCCCAATTAATAAACCAAGTAAAAAATGGACTGTAATTTGTTTTCATTCTCGGACACATGTAAACAATAATTAGAACAGCTGGGTGCGTCATCAATTAATAACACGACCATGAATTTCAAATTTGTAAAACAACAACTGACAAACGAATTAGTTTTTGGAAAACAAATGTTTAATTTATAAGAATTCTGCCATAAATATATAATAACATAGATTATCGCGTCATCCGTGTAAAGGCTAAACTTGTTGTGGCAACCGAATGTTACTGCAC